AAGTGCGAGCACCCCCGCGCATACTTCATGCAGATCCAGACGCGCTCGGCCGACGAGCCCATGACCACCTTCTACAAGTGCTGCAACCCGCAGTGCGGGCACCGCTGGCGGGACTGAGCGGGGCACGGGGGGTACGGCAGGGGGGAGGGATGGGCCACGGGGATCCTTCTCCTGCAATAAACCTGGCACTGGGTGGAAGGAGCTGTGTCCTGCGTGGCTGTTTTAAACCTGACAAGGTAAGGATGCTCTGCACGGCTGGAGCCACAGTCAGGCTCCAGCAGGGTGTTGTGCCTGTACCAGGGGAGGTTTAGATTGAGAGTCAGGAAAATTTCTTCCTCAGAACATGTTGTCAAGCATTAGAACAGGCTGCACAGGGAAGTGGTGGAGTCACCATCCCTGGAGATATTTAGAAGATGGGCAGATGTGGCACTTGGGGACATGGTTCAGTGGTGGGCTTGGCAGTGCCAGGATTGATGGTTGGACTCGATGATCTTAGAGGTCTTTTCCAACCTAACTGATTCTGCTGAAGCACATGTAATAAACTCACACTATGCACACAGAGAAACCAGTGTCAACAGAGAGACAGGCCCTAGGGTAATGACACTGAAGGACAGTTCCCAAACAGAGGCAGGAGCTGTGCCACACAGCTGAGGGTGAAGTAAAGTGTTAACCACTGGTATCACTTGGCAATAACAAAGGGGCCTGTGCTATGAGCTAGAACACCTGTAAGATAAAGCAGGAACAACTACATGTTCTACAAGCAACTACTGGTAAAAAAAGAATATACTTCAAGTAGGATCACATAGTACTTGTGTCTGAACATCAGCCTTTATTCTCAGTTTAAATACATTCAGAAGTACAAATGGTAACTTCATAAAAACATTATGGAGCAGAAATTGCAACTTTGATTGTTTTAACACTCCCTCCTACAGGCTGAGCCCATTTAATATGACTCAGCTTTACCTCTTTTATACAGGGATAACCTGCACCCACTTATTCCAGTTCACTTCACAGGGGAACACTCTCCCCAGCCTGAGAGTACAGTCTATTGTGGGCTCATAGTATATTGTTGGGCTTTCACTCAGTTTGGGATGGTCTAGTTGTTCTTCCACAACTGGCTGAGAGAAGAGTGATACTGGGGATGACTTTTTCATGTAGAAACGTCTGATGCAACCGAGAGTTTCCAGACCCTGTGGAGAAATGTGCATATTTTAGTTTGAGCAGTGGCAGCAGAGAAAACACAACAATGCACTGAATGCTGCTCTACCCACAGTGTTCTCAGAAATGCTGGAGAATTTACACCAAAAGTAGCTGGTTGCTCAGTGCACCACTGCTAACACACAACCTGCACTGCTACCAAAATGGACAAGCCTTTGGGCAGAAGTTCATGTGAGCACTGGAATACTGATTTCCAGTTAGCCAGGGACGACATACTCATGGGAAGAGCTGCAGTGTTACTTCTGTGCTTCAGCTTTTGAATCCTTATAGGAAAAAAATACAAAGTAAGGTTTCATTTGCAAAGTAGCAGTGGTGGTACTCAAACCTCAAGATGTGGGGGGAAAAATGTGAGAAACTCAAAATCTTATGTGCATGAATGGTTTCACAGTTCAGGATGGAGGTCTTTAGGTAGGTGTCAGGGTAGAAAGTCTGATTTACAGACTGGCCAGCACAGACATGTTTCAGTCTGATTCTGACATCAGAGACTGCCTGTCTGGAAACTATATAAGGAAAAAAATGAGGATAATTCTGATTATCTCTGGTGATTTAACACTGCATTAAACACTCCAACTTAACGTTTCACAGTGACAAGCCCCCACTTTTCAGTAACCACCTGGAATTTCTACTGCCTGTACATCCACTTGAGAAGCAAGCTCAGAGTTTAAAATCAGTAACAGTAATTCAAGAACAGGCACATCAGGCTTCCTTCTCACTGAACAGTGACTTGCTCTGCCTGTGGTTAATTTGCACTAAAGGGAGAAGGTTGTTTTTCGTGGGTCATTCACAGCCCCAGTAGTGTGGCAGCTGAAGTGAGAGAGCTGCAGGTGACTCAGGTACCTTCAGGATCTCCAGAACAGCCACAGGCTGCAGCACACCAGTGTAATGCTGCAGCAGCACTGCTTCCGTGATGCCTGGCTTTGTCATGATGTGGTAGAGCACAGCCTCCATCATCCCCTTGCACACAGGTTTGTTCAGGGTCCCATCCACGATCCTCCACGGCCTCCCAATGAAACAAACGTTCTCACAGGCCCTGCAAAAGGCAAAGCTCAGCTCTGTCAGGAATTCTTCTAGGTGATTTTCCACTGTCACAATTTCTGTGTTACAGACTCCTCCTACATCCCTATCAGCATTTGCTCATGTGCCAGGTGTAAATCCTGTGGCTGCTCTAAGCAGGGCCTGGTGCTGATTTTCCAGACAGCTCCACAGACCTGCAGTATTTCAGTAGGTGTTCACCCCTTTTGGCACCACTATACACCCAGCAGGTACCCTGGGTCTCAGTGACCAGCAAAGCTTTGTTTGGTATTGGCTCTAATATCCTCTAAAAGTTTTCCCAAACCTGCTCCAATCTGCAACATGCAGCAGCAGTGCTCTGGTAGGAAAGAAATTCCTCATTTTTAGCATTTTGGAATCCAAAGACAGACCCTGCATGGAAATTCTCATGTCTCATATTACAGTTTCTCCAGGCCTGGGTACCTCAAAGCTGAGGCACTGGACTTACTTATGAGGTAGAATCAGCTTTGTTCTTCTGATATTTGGAGCTAGCTGGTTTTTGGGTAGAGAGAAATGCTCTCAGTGTGCACATGTGCAGGAGAAACATGAAGCAGAACATGGGGTTTCTCCATCCTCAGTGCTCACTGTCCCCCAGAGCATAATACTAAGGTTTCCAAGTCATTGCTGGCAGTATTGTTTTGGTAGTGCCAAGTGTTTCGTTCCTCTGCAAATGTCTCTTACTCACCTGTCCCTGTCTGCCTGTGAGACATCTGTCCCAGAACTTCCTGGAAAGAAAAGGACACATATTTTCTAATTAACCCAAGCTCTTTATCTGCTGGAAGGAAAGTAAAAGGTGGCCAAGCTGTAAAGTGCAACAGCTTGTTAGGATGTCACACAAGCAAACTGCACCATGTATTGCTCTAAGCTGCCACTGACTGCCCTAACCTGCTGCAGCACACTCCTCCCACAACCTCATCTGTCTACTCAACCACACTTCTTGTGGTTCTTTTCCCAGATCCCAGCAGGAAGTTTTTTCCTAGAAGTCTGATGACATGGCTGAACCACAGGTGACTGTATGGGCTGACAGAACTGAGTTTCACAGAGAGCTGGGCAGGGCTTCAGCTTTGGTCAACCTGAGGCTCCTGGAAATCCCCTGGAAGTTGGTTGGGCAGCAGTCTGAGTGTTCCAGCAGGGCTCAGTTTCCAAGTGGAGGTTTGTCTCTGCACCTCCCGTCACATTATGTCATGGATTTTAAGGAGACAATTACTTCACAGAGGTATTCCTACCACACCCAGAGGCTAACAGCTTTGGTTTCAGCACACTTACACCCTTCAGCTGCCCTTCAACCACACCGGCAGGAACTCTGATAATGTAACTATTTTTTCCCCTCCTTGTTACAAACAAGCTAAGGAAGTTAAATCCAAAGGAGGACTTTGCTAGTTTCATGTTAGGAGCTGCTGAGGTCTCTGCTGTTTGGACAGCCCCAGGTCCATTTCCTGCAGGAAGGCTCTAGTGAAACAATCCCAAGGTCTGAGCTGTTAGGGATCAGGCTGCACTGATTCACGTGGCAGCTGCCTCTCTGAACGTGGGCACACCAGCAGAGCTTGGCAAGATCCCCCACGAGCAGTCAGCTTGTGATTCAGCCTGAAATCAGAGCCGATAAAAACACAACCAAAATAAAATCCCCCACAACCTACTTAATGTAAGGCCTGGCAAGCACTAGTAGCTATTAAAACAGAAAACTGGCAGTAAAAAGGAAATGAAAATGAAGTCCAATTGGGTTACAAACGAGGCTGTTAATCTCACTGGCATGTGCTGCTTCCTGGTGAATGGTTTAATGACTTCAGGACTTTTAGCTAAATGCACATCAGCAGTGCTGTGCTGTCTAGGCTTAGAGATGTCTGCCCTCTGGACTGGAGCCAGAGATGAGAAACTTCAGCTCCAGATGATTTTGGAGAAGGGTAAGACATGGAAATGAGTTTCTAAGGAAAACATATTTCTGGACTAGTCATTCCAGCAAAAGGCATAGGAAGGAATCTTACATGCATTTGAAAACTCTAAGAACTTCCAGCTGAAGTGCCAGTTTGTCTGTGAGAAGTGACGATCTCTCTCTGGTGCAGCTTCCTAAAGAATCTAGGATTTGCTTGTAAAATGGAGCTATCCATTTGGGATCAACTGATGATGGGCTAGTCCCTATTTCTCAGACACAGAGTGCTCCTACATACCTTTAGAGACTCCTGGGTTCTCCTGTAGGTAGGAAAGATCATCGTCCTGCTCACTGGCTGACTGTTCCAGGCTGGGGATCTGCTTGTTGTGCTCAGTGGGGAGCTCATCATTCCCTGCTTCAAGTTCTTTGTCCTCAGAACAAGGTTTATCTTGTTCCTTGCAAGAAGTGCCCACATTCCCAGCCTCTGGAGCACTCTCTGGCAGTTCAGCTGGCTGTTCTGCCTGTCCTCCCAGGGATTCTCCTTCTTCATCCCCTGGCACAGCTTCCTTTGCTGTGACAGGATCAGCGACTCCTGCGTCAGAGTGACTTCCAGCTGCAGTTCCCAGACTGTCCTCCTGAAGGACATCAGTCCTGCATCTCTTCCTCGGGGGTTCTTCATCACTGACAGAGGGTGTGTCTTTTCCCAGCTGTTCCTCCTCTCCCAAACATTCCTCTCCCTTCCTTGCCTCTGACGGGAGGCTCTCCTGGGGCACATCTGGGAGAGTGGTGTCTGCACCTCGCTGATCACCATCGTCTGCTTTGTTCTTCAGACACACTGAATGTAACAGCCATGGCTTGGCAAACACTGCTGCAACCAGTCTCACTGAGTGGCCTCCTACTTCTAAAACCTGCTGCATTTCGATAAGGTCCTACAAAAAAAACCCAAAAAACCCCCCAACATGAATTATCTCAGGAGCTTTCACAGGAAAATGTCAGTTTAACCAAGTGTCACACAATTGCCATCTTTAACTAGCAGCAGGGAAGGAGCAAGAGCTTAGTAGAAGGTTCAGTTTTGCATCCTGCTGCACTGAAGTTGAAAAGATATTTTATCCCTTAAACTTTCCTGAAATTACAGCACAAGACATTTTTGTTCAGCTTAAATTAAGTTCAAAATATAACTGGGAAAGAGGATTTTGCTTCCAAAAGGTGGATGTTGGCACCTCTATGTTTCTGAAACACTTCATTCCTGTCTTTGATTAAGTGCTGCTTTAATTTTTGGCATTACTAACTTTGAGGCAAGTTTTCTATCAGGTTTGGTGTGTGATCTGTTGCCTAATATAAACAGCATTGTTCCATTTAGAGTTGCTCCCAACAGCCTGGAAGCTTGTCCTGTTCAGGGGGAATACTGACCATGCAGACATTCATGCATGGAAAGCAGCTGGCTGTAAAACCACCTGAATGTACTGCTCCAGGCTCCTGGTGTGTCCAGGTTCCTCCTCCTCGTAGCTGCAGAAAGATTTGCTCAGCTCAGCTCTGCAAATTCCAAAGTGGGAAGTTGCCTCTATTGCATTTCGGATCTCCAGAACAGCTGCTACATCCCCGGGAGTGTAACCATGATGTTCTCTACACTCATGAAGAAACTTGTCAACCTCGTAATTTTCGTCCTGGACTTTGATCAACCTGGTAAAAGTTTCAGGGAGGCAGGAGATTCCCACAGCCATGTTATCTAGCAGAGAAGGAACTGCAAAGCAAATAAAACAGAGGAGTATGAGCTGTGAAGTAGTTGTTACTGTACAATACACTACAGAAAGATAAATATTTTGAGACAAACAGATTAGAGGTGTTCTAGAGTTCTCCAATTAAAAACAGAGCTCAGTTTTCCATCTTCATTGCTGCACTTTCCTTTTTTCTTTCTGCTTTAGAAGGTCAAGTGAAAATTACAGGCCAAGGAAATGCTGTTAATCAAAAAAACCCATGGCCATATATCGTTTAAACTACCCCTTGACAATGTCTTAGCACAGTTAGTCTCACAAAGCATCTCTGTGTTTGGAGACAGCCCATCCCTGCCCAAAACTTACCCTCCTGTACACAAGTATTGAGAAGCTGAAGCCATATAACCCCTTCTCCCATCCTGGGTGATTAGAGGACAGCTCTGGCACTCTTTTTCCTGCTTTTCCCCCCTTTTTTTTCAGCAGGCTGCTTCACACTGTGCCTGGGGGACACTTATGACAGCTGTGCTTCCTTGACAGCCAGGGAAAAATGAGATCAGCTGTAATAAGCAGCCAGCTCAGCAGACCTGGAGGGCATGACTGGCAGCAGGGACAGGAGAAAGAATTTCTATTTTACTTCTACCACAATGGGAATAGCACTGGGGCAGGGACAGCACTAGACCTTTCAGCTGAAGAGCTAAAGGTTCTGGATACATTTGCATTACAGCTGAAAGCAAGATGCTCTTTAAGAAGGGGCAGTGCTGATGGGCTGCAAACATTTAAGCTCTAAACACTCTCCAAACGTTTGAGTTACTCTAGGTAAGAGGTCAGACAGTGGACACCACTATTTCAGGCAAGAGCATGGGACAGTAAGTGTGAATTTCCATGCAAGGAGCTCTGAAAGAGTTTGGTTTCTCCACAGAAGTCTGAGTGTGACAGAAAATGGTATTTTAAGTTGCAGAAGGGACTGAAAAACCTCCTGGACAAGGGTAACAGAGCAGAGGAGAGACTTCCTCTTTGGATTAACAGTTTCACACAACATGAAACAAAGACAAGCACTTGTTGCAAACCAGAGGTGCCTCTTAGTCAACCATCTGTTTGTCTCAGGAGAGAAAGCACTACAAACTGCATGTGTGATGAAAACAGAATGTAGTTTAAATCAGTTCCTCAGTAGATGAGTTCACTTTCTCTCCTGCTTCAACCCACTGGGGTGTGAGTTAGACCCAACAAACTAACCTGGAGAGCTGAGCCTTCCTGGGACTGGTGTGCATCGCAGCTTGACCTTCACCTGGCAGGAGTTGACCACAATGTTGTCACTGGGGCTCAGGTTGCGTGTGCTGACAATTCCAGGGGAGTAGTAGCCTCTCATCAGTAAGTAATTAGTGTGAGAGGCCTGACGAGCTTTCACTTCAATCCTCCGTTTGCCTCCAGAGTTGTCATCTAAGTCATCGTCATCGTCTTCGTCGTCCTCCAGCCCTTCTTTGCCCAAACTACAGCAAACAGATGTTTTGTTTGTTTGTTGGGGTTATTTCCCAAAATAAGAAAGGGACTCATCACACTGAGCAGAGCAAGAACACAGCACTCTGCACTCTCCTCTTTAGGCATGGACAGCTGAGGGTTGTCCACAACAGGTTGATTTAAAGCACTGAGAATAAGCAACTACAGAAAAGAAAATACACTAAAGGTCTTTGGAAAAGGAAACTCTCTTTTTTTGGCAGATATTTTGAAAAGAACCCAAAAAAATCTCAGTTTACAGTGCTGAACCTTTTTTAGTTCAGCAGACACTTCATCATGGGAACATCTGTTAGGCTCTGAGATCATGAAGGATGCTGCAGTATAGGGCAGACAGTGTTTGTTTTTAAGGGAGAAAAGGAGGAGAAAGAATTACAGACCAAAGACTTCAGTTACTTTAAAAAAGGCTAAAAAACCACCACCAAAACCCAAACTGCAGACAGCCTGCACATAAAAAAAGAATAGCAGTAGCAGCCAGGATATATTTCCCAGAAACAAACTTAGTCAAAGCAACACTTTCTTTCCAGGACACAGCAAGAGCCACGATGGATAAAGCTGAAGGCTCTGAACAACCTGATCTAACTCTGAAGTTGCCTTTGTTTTAAGCAGAGACAGAAAAGGTTGGCAGGAACCTTTGGTTAAGGATCTTAAGTACCTTCTTTGAAAACATATTTATAACCCAAAGGGAACACATCATTTAGAACAAACAGTGTGAGTACACTAGGAGTTGGAAGGTGCCTGTACTCAGCAGATACTCAGTGTATTTTGCTAATGACCTGGGTGATAAAAGAGTTTCTCCAGTTTGCACAAGATCAGCAGACTGGAGAGGCTGAAGGACATGAGAGGATGGGATTTGCATTCAGAACATCTCCAGCAATCTGGAGAAACAGCCTGGAAAAGAGCAGGGACCAATGACAAACATTCCTATGCATACTATTTATGTAAGAGTACTGTGCATCTGTCCCTCAGCACCAAGAGGAAACAACTAACTAGGTACAGGAAAAGAAACTTGTTAGAATGAATCACAAGAATCATGAGCTGTGCCTGGATCACTGCACTGCTGGGGGGGCTGTTTTTTTTTTCATTCAGCATCTTGTGATTCATTAGCAGGTGTTTCACCTATATAACAGGATGGAATTGGCACAGACCTGCCAGCAAGAGCATGGCATTTGGTTGTTGACATCACAGTTCAGTGCAGAAGAAAATCATGAGCAAGACAGAGATCTGGATAACAGGAATAATGTGCCAAAGACACAAGTAAAGGAACTGAAGCTGCTCATTTTAGAGAACAGCATGTTATAGGAGGAGGACTATGTAAGTCTTCAAATAGGTATTAAGCTGCTCTAAAGAGAAAAAAAAAAGTATTTTCCATGTATATATACAACAGGAAGCAGCAGGTTAAACTACAGCAAGAGATTTTAGTTGCACTCTTAAGGAAACACATAATGACTGTAAGGATAACTGCTCACAGGATCAAACTGCCTGGGGAGAGCTTCAGTATCAGTGGAATGCCATTACTGCAGGCTGCAATTAAAGTAAGAATCAAAGAGGAGGCAGCACACAGAGCAATGCTGTGTGAGAGGTTTCACCTTGCTGCTAACCCTGCTCAGTCTTTGGGATGGCAAAGCACAACGTTGGTGGAAATGCTCATGCTGCACCCAGTGCTCTCCTTCCCACATCGGCTCCGATGGCTCTGGAGTGCTGAGCAATTTAAATGCCACGTGTGAAGACAAATGCAGTCCAAGGCTATGATGACAGGCACTAACTAAAGTGCTGTTAAATCTTCAGAACGCTCCCTCAGAAATAAAAACCTGAACAGCATCACGGTAAAATGCCACAGTGCAGTGCAGGGAATGCTAACGCCCATCCCACTTCATTCAAGTCATCCCCAAAGCTTAGTTATTTAGCAGAAATAACAGCATTTACCTTTTTATCACTTCGTTTTCCACCATGGTGCTGTCCACCACAACAATCTGCTCGGGGATTCTCACACTCACAGACACAAGGCCCAGGGAGAACAGGGAGAGCATTGCCACACATTGCCCTCCAGGCCCATCCATAGGAAATGCCACCATGCCTTCTGAGGATGTGTTCTCTTGATCTTTGAAGGAGAAGTGATCTGGCTGGTCTGATTTTTCAGCATCCTTGAGCTTCTCGAGGAACTGGAAGGACTCTGTACAAATGGTGCTGGGGAACCGCCACGTAAACACTCTGGACAAAAACACAAAGCCAAAGCCACACAAATCCTTCACCATCTGTTCTTACTGTGTAGGAATTTTAGACCCATGATAGCACAAAGCAGCCAAACAGTTCCATGCTAGAGTTGGTGACCAAGTACCTTCTACATCTGCTTTCACAGTCCTTTTACTAGTTCCAGAACATTGCACATTTATGCACCATGTAAGAGTCAGACACTATACAGCAAATAGAAGATGTCCAACCATTAACCTGTCACTGCTGTAATCCCTAAACCCTCCACCACATCCTCCAGCATCAGATCCAGACACCTTCCAAGTGACTCCACCACCTCCCAGGGCAAACCCATTCCAGTGCCTGAACTGGAAAAAAATAAATCTCAACATTTACTCTGAGTCTCCCTTGTCTCAGCTCAAGGCCATTCCCTCTAGTCCTCTCCCTGCAGCCATGGCAGGAGATATATCCCCCACCTCTCTCCAACCCTGTCAGGGAGTTGTAGCCATCCATGAGTTCACCCCTGAGCCTCTTCTCAAGGCTAACCAAACCTAACTCCCTCAGCCCTTCCTCACAGGACATGTTCTCCAGACCTTTCCTGCCCTCGTTGCTCTTGGCTGGACACACTCAGTGTCCTTTGCAAAGTGAGAGGCCCAAGCCTGAGCACAGCCCTCGACTGCCGCGTCACAGGCAGTGCCTGTTCTGACACCCACCTGTAGTAACTCTGGGAGAGCTGGTAGGACATGGGCACAAAAGGCAGAGCTCTGTACTTCTTTGGCCCCAGCATGTGGTTGACACGGCGACGATTCACCAAACTTCTCTTCTGGCACTCCAGGAAAGCCTTGACCAGGACGTCGTCGTGGTACTCACGGTACAGCCGGAATGTCTACAACAAAGCCCTTCAGTGCAAGAGGCAGTGCTAGCTCTGAGTCTAGACCTAGAGGTTTACATTAACTAAATGGCTATGAAGCTACGAGCCAGAATGGAAATGATGCACATCAATTAACTGAACTGCTATTCTGTTCCTTTTATGGGCTTCCAGACTTCCCACAGTAAATGCCAATTAAATTAGCTAAATGCTATACGACACTTGATATTCAGAATGGGATCAGGCTCTCACTAGAGTTAGGGATGTTGAAAATGCTCCTCTGTAACACATTTTGGTAGATACTTCTCATTATTTTAGCAGGAACACATGCTTCTTTGAGCTTGGCTTTCTAGGCTCCACTCCTGCCTGCTGCTGAGACATTCAATTCCCTTTGAACTGCTAACCTTATTTAAGCACCTGACTGGTAGAAGATACTGTGGTCCCCAACCAGTGTCAGCTGGATATTAGGACTGGTTTTGTGGTATCTCTTCCAGGGCATTCCAACTGCTCAAGTGGGCACTAAATAAGGACACAGTTTGACCCAATGGAAGCAATGTGGAGTTTTGCTCCTATGGTTTTTAGGGATGGTTTCAACTTCACATCTTGCAATCTCATCCTCAGAGAGAAAAGCAGCATACTGAAAATCTGCCTTGAACATATGATTTCATAGAATTCCAGAATGGTTTGGGTTGCAAAGGACCTTCAAGCCCATCTTTTCCAAGCTAAACAATTCTATGATTCTATGGGCAGTAAAAATTGGTCCAGATACTGTACCTGAAATGACTGGCAAGATTTCATCTGGTTATCTGAGAGTGCCAATGTGCTCTGAATCAGATTCTGTAGCACTAGAAAATGAATATCATAAACACTGAAAGAAAAAAACCAAAAGTTTATTGATGGTGATTTTTGAGCATGAGGTACCTACTAAACCAGCACAAACACATAGAAACTCCATCATCTGCTTCTGGAATAGCTGCACAAAGGCAGGAGATCCATCAGCTGAGGATCATCAATACAAAGGAGCCTGCTACATTTTCCCTGAACTTCCTCCCTGTGTTTTTGGATCAGTCCAGACAATCTCACACAAAATGAAGTTGTCTTTGGTAACATCTCACTCTCTTAAGTACAGCACCCACACAGAAAACAGACACTGTTGTCCTGATGATAACAGACCACTATCTGAGGTCATTGCTGCTGTCATTTTATTCACCAAATCTATGCCAGAGGTCCCTACAGCCTTGTGAAAGTATTTTTCTGTTAATACATTTATGCACTGCAACAAACAGATGAAAAAGTTCTGAATTAGAAGATAACTTCTATGACTCTCAGAGATACAAGGGGCTAACATGGCCTTGGAGTCCTAGAACGTACTACTGCTACTCACCTGCTTAAATTATCCTCCTTTGTGCCTTGATTCGTGTCTTCTCCAATTGCCAAAACTCGAAATCTAGTCAAGGGAAAGGAAATAAGTGGAACAAGAGTAACATCCTGTGCCTTTCTGTCAGCCATGGAACCCAGAGGCTGACAAGCACAACTGCTAAGGAGACAAGTGCTGAAGCAGTGCAGGGCCTGTCTGCTCCTGCAGCCCTCAGCACAGGGTCAAACCTGGACAGAACTGTCCAGATCCATCTCCCTCACTCCACTAAAATACCTGCTGACAAGGAGATAACACACATGGACAGGAGACTGTCCAGCACTGTAAGGATTTGTCATTCTATTGAGCTTTTGACTCCCAGTTACCACCAGCAGCACTCCTGCTGTAATGTACAGCTCTTGCCAAAGTAAGAACATTTACAAAGGTGCTAAATTTGTTATCATAAAATGGTCTGAGACCCAAATTTTCCACACTGCTCTTCAAGTGTTATTCATCACGAGGAGGTTTAATGGCCTGGAGCTGGAGAATGCTGTACAAGGCTGAGTGTTCTTCTTTATCAACAGCTTTAGCAGCACTGAGATAATTCAGCTGAGCAACCAGCTACAAATTGTGATACAAAATGGGGCCAGTTACTCTGGAAAACGCCAAAGTGAAATCTTCTATTGCATTGGAAAGTTATACCTGAGTGTCACCATCTCTAACAGCAAAGCTGAAGAACTGACAAGAGAGAAAAACCTGATATTGTGAATTTCAGGTTTAAAAGTTCTTTAGCAAAATGTGAATGGTTTAACATCAGGAAGTTTGTGCAAAGAACTGAAAATCAGGGATATGTATTTAGCTGGTTTGGATCTGAAAGCAACACTGCTGCTTGTATTTACTGAAACTGCTTTTGGTCTAAGAGTAGGAGAACCAGAGGGTGTAAACCATGCACAGAGGTGTCTGCTCTGCAGTGCTGTCCCCTCTCACTGCCTCAGCCCATGTGCACAGCCAAAAGCACCATCCCCAAAATACCTGGCAAACAGCTCCTGCAAAGTGTCAGGAATCTCAAGCTTGGGATTTGCCAGGGTTGAACTGAATTTCTCTTTCAGCCTTTCCACAAACTCTTTAAACTCCTTTGCACAAACCTTAGAAAAGAAGAGACACAGATGTTATCAATTTCAATTGCTTATGACAGGAGAAGATCCTCTACTACTGAAGTGTCCATGGAAAATCCTTGTAGAACTCACTGGGTTGGAATTATCAAGTCAGAAACAGTACAACAGCCACGAGAAAGCATCAAAAAGCTCCATGGAGTTTGTATTTGCTGATTTGCAACCAGTTGCAGGTTCCATCTGTAATCACTCTCACAGCTACAAGCCAAACACCAAGAACATATGTTCTGAAACAATTTACTGAACTGACAGCAGCTGATCTCTTGCTAGAGCTTTGTTTAAGCTTCTGCTCAGTATTTTTTTCTCTTCAGACCCTTCAGGCTTTACACGTTCTCCATGAAGTCTGTTTAGACAACTTTTCAATTTGAAATTGTTGTTCATTTAAGCCATAAAAAGCTAAAAAATGAAATAAAATCTTCTGGCTGATCAAACCAAGGCTTATCTCATGGAATTTACTTGCATTCATCCTCAGAAGTTAAGGTCATATTTCAACATGCAACTGGAATAAAGGCAAGAAATTACAGAGCAAAAATGTTTTCTTGCTCAGATAACAATGAGGCTGAGAGGATAAAAAAAACCCCAGTGGATACAGATGTTTAGTCATGGATGTTTCTAAACAAGCACATTGAAAAAAACCCCAAATTTTTGTTGCCCAGGAGGCTGTTTATGTGCCTGTGTCCTCTTTGCTCCCAAACCAGCAATAATGATGCTTTGTTACACTGATGCTGTTTTTAGAATAACTTAAGGGTTCCAGGGAGAGACAAGACATGAAATCATAGCAATTCAAACAGTGCAAGTGCTCAGTAATCCAAACAGTGTAAAGTCCTCTGTGACCTTTTGGAATACTTCCCTCCTACCTGTGGGTCTTCATAGTTATTTTCTCTGTGCATGAAATCCTCAATGAGGGCTTTGTCTTGGTAAACCTCAGCAAGGCAAACTCTGCAACAGACACAAAGGAAGTTGTTGCCCAGAGTTGAAACTTTCCCAGTTCAATACAGATTTGACAGCAATAGGTGCAAACAGAGTGAAATTTATAAGCCACATGAAACAAGAGAAAAACACAGGAGGTTCATCCTTACTTAATCTCAGGAGAATTTAGCCTGTACACAGAACATAGAAACCTCCTTACTTGTAGTTGAGATAGGTCTGTGGGTTTCTGACAATGTAACGAGCTCTTCGCCCCACAGAGTGGGAGGTTTTGTCCAGGGACTCCTCAAAGCTGCTGTGCATGATGTCCCGAACCACCTGCCATGGCACAAAGGGCCCTTTGACCTGCACGAAGAGCAAACACGTCAGGAGTTAGCTAGACTTCAGCTCTGGTGTGCACAAACGATGGGCAGGACCAGGATGAACTCTCTGGAGTGCTGAGGTGGTGTTCAGCACACAGGAGCTCAGTGCCAGGGGTCTGTGACCCACCTTTGCATTCAGCACGTGGCTGGCAATGCGGCACAGCATGAGCAGACTGTCCTCCTGCACCGTCCAGGTGACACGCAGCCGAGTCATTCTCAGCAGGGCACTCTGGTCTGCCTTGTCGTGGTACCGCAGCCTTTTGCTTTTGTCTGCAGACTTCTCTTCTAGCAAACCCAGGGGAACAAGGAGACACTTAGCACTGTGTATCCCATCCATTCAAACTCCCCTCGCAGACAGTATCGGCACCAGCAAAGAGGGCCAAGAGCAGGGAAGGAAGCAGCACCTCAGAAAGTAAAATGCATCAGCAGCTCTCCCAGGAATGAGAAAACAAGCATTTGTAATTGGCAAACTGACAGCCTAGAGCATTACTCTGTGCAGAACCTTTAAGCCAGCTGTCAACAGCTGGTGATGCATTGCAAGGAGCTGACCTTGCACAGATACCATCAGCATCTCTGTAGCCTGTAGAGCACAGCAGTGTTATCTGAATCCTGGTTCACACACAGCTCACAGTTCCACCTCAGAGCTTGTACACAGCCCCAGGACACCTGAACCTCTTCGCTGACAGAGGCAGCCCTAAGCATGGCCAGTAAACTGCCATGTCCCACACTACAGGACAGTCAGATCAGCTTTTCTAAAGCAGCTTCCAACAGGCCTAAGCACAGCAAAGAATGCTACTTTGTCCTGTTTCTTACCTTTCTTTTTCTTCTTTGTCTTCTTTCCAACATCTTTTCTAAGTCTCTTCCTTTTTTGGCTTTTCCCACCTCTCACTCGTTTCGTTCGATCCTGGGTTGATTCTACACTTAGTTCAATACATTCCTCTTTCTGGGCAAGTGACTCTGATCCTACCTTTGCTTCTCCCAAAATGCTCATTTTGTTACCTAAAATGACATATATTTACAGTAGTGGAGCTTTACAGCAGTGACATTCAATGATATTAAGGTATAAAGAGCAAACGCCAAAGTTTCAGTGCATTAAAAGACAGATGTGCTCTCAGACTGCCCTTTGTCAGTCATGTCATCTCGTGCCATATCTCAACAGCTCACAGCCTGAAATCCCACAAAAATGAGGAATCATCAAGTAATTACTAACACAAGGGGATGGAGCTGAGGATTTACATTCTACCTGAAGCATTTCCCCCTCCTCAGCTCAAACATTAGGCTGCATAACAGTGCTACAAAACATTGGTCTCTCTAGGCTTTCTGCAAACTGCACATCCGAAATTACAAAGGATAAAAATTATTGTTCTCTTAAGAAATTATTTATACATCTATTTTACAACCCCAGAAGTATCCTAGATCATTGTAAGGAGACAGGAACAACCCATGTCACCAATACTGGATAAAAATTATTGTTCCATGCAACCAGAAACAAGGAATGAAGTGATTTAGCTATTTTACTGCCCCAGAAGCATCCTAGATTACTGTACAGAGACAAGAATAACCCCCACTGCTGGGTTTGGCAAAGACACAGCTTCAGCCCCACCACCTTACCTGCAGTGCTGAGTGTCAGGGGGTGTTTTGTCAGGAAGGTTTGGAGTCTCGCTGTCAGTCCATTCTCAGACACTGTATTTTCCTAAGACAACACAGCTTTAACAAAGGTGACATGCAAAAGGAGTGCTCTGCTTTTAACAACACTGGATGTGCCAAGCTCTGAGTAGTGTCAGCAACAAAATTTCAGTATAAAGGAAAAGATCTCTGGCTACAACAAAGAACTCATTTGCCTTGTCACTACCATGTATTAGAAAGGCTCCAGAGCTTTTCTTCAATCACACTGTAATGACCACTACATTATGAAGGTCAGAACTCCAGCAAATCCACTCACGGGAAAGAAATGCTTGTGTGTTTCATTGCTACAGAGGCTGAGCAGAATTTGCTGCAGAACAGTATTTTTTCAAAACGTTTTACATTCCAAAGGAACTTCCAAAAAGCACAAAGCCAAAATGCAAACCCAAACACGGAGGAATTGCCTCCTACACCATATCCTGTCCATCTTAACTCTGAGCCTGAACTGATTGCAACATATTAGGAGTTTTGCCAACCTCTGCAAAACCATTTCTCTCGTGTGGAGTTCCCTGGGGGCAGAAGTTGGTCACAACACAGAGAGGGAAGAAGAGACTGAAGAATTGCTGGAGGTGCTGTTAATGCTGAACACTACGTGACTGAACAGCAGATGAAATTAAGAGTGAAATGATCCTGCCTGAGGGAAAAGAATTAGGAGCTCTAATTTTATATGCACTGCTAGGCTATAATTTGACCACTGCTTAGGAGAGGGTAATTACAGCCAGTTCTGTGAAAGTTCCTGTTCAATGCTTGGCACTGGTGAAAAAGCAAAGGAAAAGTATGGAATTCTTAGGGAAGAAAAGCAACACTATGCAACTGTAAAAATCCATGGTTGGGCACAGCCTGAAAGCACTTTGTGATTCTACTTCCACCTTAAAAAAGAAACAATAGAACTGTAACAGGTTAAAGGAAAGGCAACAAGAATGATTCAAGGCAGAACAGATTCCATGCTGGGAATAGCAGATGCCAGTCTTAAAAAAAAGGAGCTGATAATGGGAAACATGAGAGATGTTTACAAAATCAAGTGAAACAGAAAGGGTAATGGAGATTGTAATTTTCACAGCTCCCCTTAGCACTACAATTATTAGGGAGCTTAAAGCATCAGAAGGAAGTGGTGACATATAACAGCACTTGGAAATGCTTTGCTGCATGAGGTTGTGGCTACTAGAGACTTAAATGTGTCCAAAAACACACTCAGACAAATTAATGCTAGAAGAAAAAGCTATTAACTCCTTTGAAACACCAAGCTTAAAATAGCCTTGAGCCAAACTTGCAGACAGCTGAGGAAATATCCCTTGCTCCTACAACCCTCCCCGCCAATCTCTTGTTGGCAGCCTTCGGAGACAGGACAGAGCCAGAGCCAGGATGGGCAATCTGCTTTGCATATGCTGAGCTCCCTAGTTTTGGTTTTATCTTTTTCCATGTATATTTTCTTGTTCTGGATGCTTCAGTTTTTGTCTGACAACTTCTATGTCCCAGAAGGGCAAGAGGTACCACCACATAGTCTAAACTACTTGCTTAACAGAGCATTTCTCCTTTGGTTGGATGGACTAACCAGCTTACTAACAAATTCAGCTTTCAGTAAAGTTTATGCCCAATTCTTCCAATCCCTTCAGCACCAAGACTGACCACACTTGACATTCCTTTCCTTCCAGTGATGCAAAGCCTTCCTGAGACACCCAACCAGGATGGATGTGAGCAGTAAGACTTTGCTGTCAGCATCTCAACCTTAGGAATATTAACGTTTGGAAAAGTCAGTGCAGTATATAAATTTTACAATACCAACCTTCTTAGTCTTATTGATGATGTAGCTTGTCCAGATCCAGTTGCGTTTTAGATGGCCATAAAAGCTGGAATCCAGGCCTGCAGCTCCTAACCCATCTCCAGGGATAGATCCATCATCAACCACCTCTCGGCTGCCCCTAACAGCAGG